AGGGAATTCATCGGATCTGCTTCAAAATTGGTCAGTACAGTCAAAAAATGGTGCTGATTAAAAGTTGTGCTATTTGTGCATGTACGTTGAAGGGCGTGTCCGTGGCGTTGTGTTGAATTTCGACGATTCGCCATAAAACAGACCTCAGTGTACAATGTCCAATCTCCACTAAACTCACTCACATATTCTGTAACAGTCCAACCCTGAACCCGTCCTCATAACTTCAGTATACATGGTCCAATCTCAATGAAACTTCACATGTGTGACAAGAGTCCCACCCTTATGTGGCTCAGAGGCAGTACGGGTCGTCCCCCATTCGGAAGGTTGTTGGTTCGATCCCCGGCTCCTCCTGCCACGTGTCGAAGTATCCTTGAGCAAGATACTGAACCCCAAATTGCTCCCGATGCATAGCATTGGTGTGTGAATGTGTATGAATGTTAGTTTCTGTTCGATGGACTTTGCCATCGCTGTGTGAATGTGTGTGAAAGGGTGAATGTGGCACGTAGTGTAGAAACCGCTTTAGTGGTCGGATGACTAGAAAGGCACTATACAAGTACAGGTCCATCCATTTACCATTTAACACGTCTACATGACAATATTCAGATATAGTTATAGCGCCACCTGCTGGCAACAGGAAGTAAGTGCTGCATGGCAATTTGATTTACGTGAAGTTTTGAATACCTAAGTCTTTTGCACAGTGTCTGAAAACACGTGACGACGTACAGCGTTCTCCCTTGACTTCTGTCAATGAGGGCTTGGGCGATGGGGCGATACGGCTTGCAGCTTTAATTCATTTTGGATGTTTAAGTAATGCTTCACATGCAATTCAGTTTGGATTTGCTTTGCCAAATAATTTTTAAGCCATAGGAGGGTTCCCAACTTACTGGGAAAAAACTGCCGAACTAACCAGCAGGAGGAATATAGGTCTATATAAGGTTCAAATTATGATGATGTAGTGGCACTATTGGATTTTGGCTGTAAAATACAGTAAAATACCCACAGCATTAATGCACCACTGATTTCACCAAGGTCTCACACAGGTCTCTTAAAACTGCCTGTGGGCACTGGACTATCAGGTCCAACCAAAGGGAGGTGTAGCTGCAAACATGCTGATACTGATTCAGATTGTTGCAGCAGCACCTGTGTGGAATCTAACTGACTAATTGTGTGTGCCATACATTCAACTAAATGAACCCATCAAAGAGTCTTCCTTCTTTATCAATAGAAAAAAACAAAGCTTTCCCAGTCTAGGTTTTTTTAATATATACATTTTGGTATATTGTTTTATTTGAGAGTGCAGTAGAGCGAGAGCAGGCTAGTTTATGTAACTAAATAAATATGCTGGAAACTGTAAAACTAGTTTGGTGGACAGTGAATGTAAGGGTGTTCATGCATGCAGATACAGTACTGTAAAGTCAGTTCTCACATTAACGGACATGACTCCTTCTGATTGATGTGCTTCTTAGGTTTACATTTTTCACAACGTGCCCTTACTTTACAGCTCAGTCTTAAACTGATACTCCACCCAAAATGGCCATATTTTGGTGAAACTATGAGTGGTAGCAGCAAACTGAGGCTACGAGTGGAGGAGATGCTTAAGAAGCTTCTTCATGTCACCATTGGAATTCATTGTAACCAGTGTAATTTACGCTGCTCACAGTTGCTGTCAAACTTGATGCCATTGAACCATTGGTGATGGTTACTTCAGTTTCCAGCTATCTAAACCGTGTATTAAAGCTGCAGTAGGTAACTTTTATAAAAATAACTTTGTTATATTTGCTGAAACTTTCACTATATCCTGACAGTAGTACACAAGACAGATAATAAAAAATCAGGGTTCTCTGGCTCCTCCTAGTGCTTTAATTGCATTTGCAAGAATCCACCAGGTCTGGACAAAAGCAACCAATCAGAGCCGAGAAAGATGCAGGGAGTTTTGGGTTGGAGGCTTGATTATCTGTGTCATGTACTACTATCAAGATGTAGTGAAAGTTTCAGCAAATATGGCAAATGAAATATATATATATATATATTTTTTTAGTTACCTACAGATGATCAGATGAGTTGGAAACAAGCCGCAGGTTAGAACCAGGCATGCTCCATGGTTTAGCTGTCTTTGGCTGCTCAAAAGACAAAGAAGAAAACAACATGCTGCACAATGGTGACATGCAGCCATTGTAAAAGTTTTAACAAAGAATGCAGCTTCAAGAGTGTCCCTCTTGTGTGCTATAGTGCATACTACAGTGTCAAAGAGCAGTGACAACTCCAGGAACGATGAGAGCGAGAGTAGATAAAGGAGAATTTTTGCACACATGCAGAGGAGATGGCGGACAGTGTGGCTCGGGAACCATGCTGAGCCCTATATTAGGAGGTCAAATAAAAAAAAAATTGTAACGATCCCTCATTGTACAGGAACACTATGAACATGTTAACTGTAGGTAGCAGATTGAAGCTGGAGCAGGAGTTCAGTGTGTAAACTGGTATGAATGTTTGTAACAGTAATTTAGTTATTCAGTTAGGCGCACTACCGCTCAAACATTTGGGGTAAATAGATGTTATTTTGTATGAAGGGTTTATTTTGTACATGGACAATAAAACGCTGTACAATGGTTCAACCAGAATGATAACTGAAAGGGCAGAAAGAGACAAAGATCCTCTGAGAAACAGTTCAATGATAATATAAGAAATCAGCAGTCATTGATCAAAGAACTGGAAGCTTAGCATCAGAATCTACTGGTTCCTTTTTCAGTGTCAAGTGCACAATAATGTCTCTAACAAGCTGGAATTAACAGACGTGTTGCTTTAGCGAAGCTATTCTTAAAACTTCAAAATAGATAGAAGTTTGGTGTAGGGTTAGCAGTATTAAATATCAGAAAAAACAGGTTCCCGTTGTTGAGTCCAGTTACCCCGTTGTGGGTCAATTATGATCTCGGGTCACTGATGATTTTCTAGATTGGAAAACAAATTCAAAATTGTATGCATTAAAGGGGAAAATAGTATGACGGTATTCTCCCCTGGCATGCAACCCTGTGGGGAAATAAACCTAATGGAAGTTTTAATCATTCCATTATTATTCTTTTGGAACTTTTTTGATCTAAAATGTCAAAAATACATTTAGTATCTGAATTATACTTTTTTTTAACTGAGCAGTAGTTCAAGTTACCTGAAGGTTTGATTCCGACCTTTCTAGTCATCGTCATCTGACTGCTTGGGTGTCTTTACCGACTGGGACTCTTTTAGCAGTTTTGTGTCATTTAAGATCTTAAATGACACACAACTTGGTGAGAAAAAATGTATTGTATGCATTCTTTTTTTTTTTACTGCTATGAGTGATAACTAAAACTACATGAATAATCCCAAATCAAAATTTTCTCGATAGATAGTTGGGGAACAAAGGCTTACACTACCTTAGAATAGTAGCAGCTCTGGCTGCAGATCTGAATATCCATGTTAGAGATTTTTTAGCAATCGTCTCTCAGCAATGCTGGCAGAGTCTGATTCTTTGACTTGTGACATAACGTTGTAACCCCTCTGGAATGTGCCACACACATCCCTGCTTTGCTGTAAAGCAAGATGTGATGTGCCGGTTGGGATACTTTGGGATACACTGCTTCACACCACAACTCATGACTCATCATTCATTCTTCACCAACAGAGAGGATATGGTTGGGTTTCTTGTCTTGCTCTTCCTCTCTTTTCTTTTTCCCGGACTGTAACTGGAGTAAGAACCTCTCTCCCAGTTACAGCCCAAATGAACTGAGATTGTGTCTCACTTCATATCTTTTTCTCCACTGTTCCTCCTCTTTTGGTTTTGGCCATGGCTCACCTTACTCTGCTCATATTGATACATGTATATTTTGTTATTCCCATCATTCCCTTCTTTGCTTTTTAATGTACTGAAATCCATTTCAATATTTTCTCCTTCCCTTTGGTCGAACCTGGCCCCCTGCTGAAAACTTTATCTTCTCTTCTATCTGTTCCACATTTCCCCTTTGTTTTCCCCTCCTGTGTCTTCCCCTGCTCCTTCCCCTTCCATCCTCCTTCACAAAGGTGGTGAGTCAGCGGTTCCCACAGAACAGCATCGGCGCGGTGGGCAGCGCCATGTTTCTGCGCTTCGTCAACCCAGCTATTGTGTCTCCCTATGAGGCTGGTATCTTGGACAAGAAGCCCCTGCCAAGGATAGAACGCGGTCTCAAACTCATGTCCAAGGTAAGGCTGGTGGATATGATGTTTTTTTGATGTAGCTTACGAACAGAGGCAATTTTAAGGATTTTCAAACTCAATATTAAGTCTTACTGTCCTATAAAGTACAGTAAATCTAATTCACTCCATAGTAGTGGCTAGAGGTGGGCACTCGAGTCTCATAACTTGGAATGAGTCATAAATTTGATGATTCTTGACTCGAAAGCTCCAAAAAGACTTGCAACACCAATGACTCAACATGACTCACT